TGACCCAGGCGTCATTTTAAGTTCATCTCGAGTCTCCTGTACATGATGTCTCTGAATCTTCACATGCACGATATCGGGTGTATACTATTATTTCTCCCGTTCTGCAGAACAGACAAGCATTATGAGGGATGGAAAATACAGTGAAAAAAATAAACCTTGCAAATCACCAAGAAGGTGAGAAAATTCTAAACTTGCACTCATCTGATAAAATAGTTACAAGATGTATAACTCAAAATCTGGAGGATGAACAGGAGAAAACTAATCGATCCATCATCATACCAGAATGTGTCAATACAATGGGGGGCTTTTTAAGAAAAAGTGAAGCGTGCAAAAAAATGGGCTGAGAATGAGGCAAGTTAATGAATGGTACAACCAGCACGGTTAGATTAAAGACCAAATAGAGAACCCTGCATCTTCCGGTTAGAAAATATCCATTCCGTCAAGAAACCTTCCACAAAAACGAACCCCGCCTCAGGCTATAAACCAGAGTCAACAAATTTCACAGAGGGGATAGTACAAGTTTTTCTAACACATGTAGCAAATTACAAGTCAATAACAAAAAGACGAAGAAGAGTGTTTTACATACATTTGCAAATTACAAATTCCAAGTAACTCCCAGGTTGAAAAGGAAAGCATGACAGAAACTAAAAATGCACGGAACAGAGCACTAATGAGAGAACTACCCATTAAAACTTGTGGATTCAGATAAAGACACAATTCAGGAAATTTATGGCACCAGTCGTGACTCTATAAGAAGAGTGGAAATGCTGAAATTAATAAGCTAAGTGTCAAACTGAAAAGCTAAGAAGGGGAGGGGGTAACAAGACAGGGTGGAACAGAGATTAGTAACACAGAAACCAGCAGAGCCCTGGCGTCTCTGACCTGTGAGCCACACACGCCCAGAAGACAAGCAGAGCAGTTCTGCTGTAGGTAACATACCGGCATTGAGTGTAAAAGGCTGCTGCCCAAAGTTGGTGGTCCGTGTGTAGTGAAGAAAATTACCTGGTGTTGCATAGGAAACCACATTTATTAAAGAATATTAACATAGTTCAGAATGTCCAGAAACTGACAACCATCGTGTCTAGCATATAGCACAAAATTAGCTTACTTACAAAGAATGCCCCCCCAAAAAAGAGGGGAACATACTTTCAGTATAAAAGAAAATTAACTGAGTCTGACTCCAGAATGAAACAGATTTTGGAACTGATGGGGCAAAAATCCTAAAAGTGTATATATTTCCATGACGCACAAGGAAGTACGTATGTTTCCCGTGAATGAAAATGTCAGCAGGGAAATGAGAAATCCCCGAAGTAGAAACAGTAGAAAGAACAACATGGAAAATCCTAAACATAAGAACCCAGATTCTGAAATGTAAAAATTCACTGGGTGGACCTGACAGTCAAATAATCATGACAAAGGAGAGACAAAGCAGCTGTGATGACAGCTCAATAGAAATTATTCGAGGTGAACAGAGGGAAATTTTTTTTTAAAGAACGGAGCATCAGAGAGTGTTAGATAATATCAAGGTCCCCAATATGTGTGCAGCTGGCACTCCAGGAGAGGAGAGGGATAAAACAAATAGAAAAAAATATTCGGCAAATTAAAGGCTGAAGATTTGACAAAGACCTACGTTTGCAGACACGAGGCTCAGCAAACACCAAACAGAATGAACACAAAGAAGTCTAATCAAAAATGCATCATAGCTGGGCTGTTAGAAACCACAAGCAAGAAGTCAGTCTTGAAAACAGCGAAAGAAAAATGCATGGAAACAGTGTCGGGGAAAGAACAATTAAGAGCCGCTTCTTGTTAGAAGCCATGGTGACCAGAAGGACGTGGCATGAAATTTCCAAAGGAAAAGGAAAAACCATCAACCTAGAAATCTATATGAAGAGACAATATCCTTCAGAAGTGAAGGAAATCCAAGGCACTCAGGTAAGAGCAAATTCAAGGAACTGGGTGCCGGCGGGTCCGTACAAACACACACCTCGAGGAAGTTCTCAAGAGGCAGGAAAATAATGCCTGGTGGAAACTCAGGTCCTGGATCAAGTCTAAAAAGCGTCAGAAAGGCGAGTGATGGGCCAATGCAACAGACTGTTTTTTTTTCTTTCTTTTTCTTCTTGCTCTCTTTATAAATGAGGTACTGTTATAAACAGTAATTATGACATCTAGTGGAGTATGTAAAGTATCTCGATTCAATACACATGACAATTATAACAGCATGGGGCTGGATGCGGGCTGAAAACTTGATACATTTCTGTATTTCACCAGAGCTGGTACACTATTAACTCATTGTTGACTGTGGAAAGTTGAGTATGTATTCTAATCCCTAGGATAAGCACAAAAAATTTGCAAAGAAATACAGCTAAGGGGCGCTTGGGTGGCTCAGTCTGTTAAGCATCCGACTTCAGCTCAGGTCATGATCTCACGGTTCGTGAGTTCGAGCCCCGCATCGGGCTCCATGCCGACAGCTCAGAGCCTGGAGCCTGCTTCAGATTCTGTGTCTCCCTCTCTCTCTCTGCCCCTCCCCCGCTCATGTTCTGTCTCTCTCTGTCTCAAAAATAATAAAAACATTAAATTTAAAAAAAAAATACAGCTAAAATAGGGAAATTCAAATTCTGAAAAATATGCAACAATAAAGTGAAAGCCAGAAATAAGTGGAGGAAACAAGTAGAAACTAATCACACACACACACACACACCCCTACACCCCCCCACCCCCACCTCCACACACACACATCCCACACACCCATACACATACACACCCACCCCACACACATACAACGCCCTCACACACACACA